ATGGATGGATGGATGGATGGATGGATGGATGGATGGATGGATGGATGGATGGATGGATGGATAGATAGATAGATAGATAGATAGATAGATAGATAGATAGATAGATAGATAGATAGATAGATAGATAGATAGATAGATAGATAGATAGATAGATACGGGGCTCCTCATATCTATGTGTATATATAATGGTAAAAGAAAAACTAGGAAAAAAGTATTTTCACCATGTATTTCCAGAACTGAGATCATGCTGTATAGTCCAACAAGAATACATTGCGCGGGCTCTGGCTCCCTCTAGTGACTCGTTCTGGTAAACAGACCATGAAAACACACATTTCTAGGTTATTTTGTGTTCAATATTTTCAGACTGCAGGTAAGCGAAACTGTGGATACCAATCCTGTGCATATATTTCAGTGTGAGTTTTTGTGGACAAGTCCACTTCCTCAGACCTGGTATGATTTTTTGGCTTGATGTCCTAGCATTGGCTAACATGGCTACCTCTTCTAAAACTAAAGTAATTATTCGGTCTGTAATTACAGCCGCACTATACTTTCCACATCTCCAGACAGAAACCCACTATACGGAGCTTTTTCAGGACGACAAGCACCGTGAAGGACTGTCTCCCAATCGACGGCTGTGCTGATTTGTTGACTACAAAGAAGCCATCGTTCCAGTACCCAGAAAGACCAAAGGAGGAACAGAGCCTAAAGTAGCATCAAGCTGGGAAATCTCCCGTCAAACTACGTTTTCACAGCATACACAGAGTGTTTTTGCAATCATGAACCAGGGCTATGATAGAAGACTCTTTTTCAGCAATTAAAACAGCCTCCTACTGTCCCCCCCACACACACACACAATTAAGCATTTTAGCAGAAGGGAAAATGTAACTCAAAAAGAAAGCTAGGGAAGTGTTTCGTTTTAGATGTTGCTACTGTGAAGATGTGTTTTTCCTCCTTCAAAAGCTGTGCTAGATCAGATGAAGGCTTCTCCAGGCCAGCGTTTGATTTCCAAAGGAGGCAACCCCATGGGAAGACCCAAGACCCAGGACATGAGCTGAGCAACGGCTAAGGAAAAATGTTTTCTTAATCCATGAAAAAAGCATCCTTTTGCAGTTGAGCTTTTCTCGCATCCTTTGTTTTGAGATCGGTCTGCAGGACATCAACATGAGAAACCTTGGGAGGCTCGTTCTCCAACCCGAACATCTCCCTGACTCACATCTCTCCAACACTAACATGCTTTTCGCTCTAGTCACAGAGCATCTTTTGTTTCCGCCCCCTTGTCCTGCACGGATTTGCCCAATTCCCCCTTTAAAACTGCCCATTGCAAGAGCTTGTGATAAACAGATCTCATCGTTTAGCTCCCTGTTTAGGAATACGATATATGATGCCTTCGTATCATATACACCAAGCACGACCGGCCGATAGGGTCACACCTTCAATGCAGACAGTGAAATCAACTCCTTTAAAAAGTTCTTCCTGGAAAAAAGTCCTTCCTGGAATTGTTCTAGGATTGGCTCCTTCGCTGCCTCTTTAAACATGTGCAAAGTTTTACTGGATTCGGTTGTTTTTCCATCTAATCCTTTTATTTCCGTCCTTGGAATTTCACACTTCTGAAACGTTTGGATCAGCTAAAATGCAGTAGTTGCCCATCACGCTGGTTAATGACCATAATAAAGACTTGTTTGTTTGCTTGGTAGTTGCCCAGGGGGCACAATAGATGGGCATCTCAATATCTGAAACCGATTTTCCACTCCCAGGGAGTAAATCCCTTGACACGGTGGAGGGATAAGGAAATTTTAAAAAGATGCATGGCAAAGGTTGCAAGATTCTCCTCTGCCAAGGTGGATCAAATAGCAGGACAGGTAAGGTGCGAAATTTTCACCGGGAGGCCTGGTGGAGAGGAGACATTTCTCGGCTGGAATGCAAAAAAATGTCTGAACAGAATATAAGGCAACTTCTTATAACTTGCATGATTCCAGGTAGTTCCCGAATCACATTCCAAACATGTTGGTTTTGCAAATCAATACCATTCCTCCCCCTCCGCCATCACCAACTATGGCCTCTGTAATTAGTCTCCGGTGTCTATTTAGTTAAGGAAATGTCTAGGGAACATAGCAGTAAAGTTAATTGCTTGCAAAGGTTTTAATGGTGATCCCATCGCATTCGATTTTCGACCGTTGCTGATTTTGGCAGCCGGCTTCTCATTTTCATCAAATTCATTCCGCCTTTGACCTTCCTCCTGCAAAGTATATAGCCATGAATGTGACTTTTTAGCATGACTTGGTCTATTTTTAAATATAAGCATTTGCTGTTTATACCTTCAGAAATAAAAAAAGGATCGGGGCTGCTGGCTTTCAGACATCCTTCTTTGGGCTCAAGGGTTCGAGAGACTGGATCTTGGAAGCAATCACTTTACTGCGAGTAAGGAGGGTGCAACCCCATTGGCAAAAACTGAAGGAAATGGGATGGACTGGTTTGCTTTTTTTTCCCCTCTGCTGATCCTATGATGTAAAGGGAAATGCAGATCAGCCAGAGTCCCCGCCCCCCCTCTTGTAATTTTCCCCTCCACCACTGGGGCTTCTACTATTTTCAAAAACACATCCATTTGCATTGGTTCATAGAATCATTGAATATTTGAGTTGGAAGAGGCCCATAAAGCTGTCGTGTCCAACGTTCTGCTCAAGGCAGGAATTCAAGTCCAAACAGATCGTACAGGTGGTGGTCCAATTGTCTCTTGGATGCCTCCAGCGCTGGAGCGCTCAGCACTTTCCGAGGTCATGAATTCCATTGTCGTACTGCTCTAACAGTTAAGAAGTTTTTTCCCTGATAGTCCCAGATGGTGTGATTGTTTGAACCCATGCAAAAGAGCCACCCACCAGCAGTCACTGGTAGCAATGGAAAGCAAAGCTTACCATCTGATCACAAAAGCAGAAAAGTAAAGCACAGGCAAACAAGCTTGCACTGGTTGTACTGGTGAAAAAAAATTGCCATCACACCATTCCAGCCAGTGTGCCCTTGAGCCAATAAGCAGCATATTATTCACGCAAGCAGAGTTCCCATTTGTTTATAACAGAGACGGGCAGTCACCGGACACTGTGGGGGAACCTATCCTTGGATCATGGGGGGCGATATCCACTTCGGGCTATTTCCCCCAATATTTTTCTTCTTACCAAAATTAGTTCATTGACCAAAACAAACACACAGACTGTGTTTGCAACCTGTAGAGGCTTCAAAAATATTTAAAAGCAAACATACAGGGTATACCTCCAAAACATGGCAAAACTGCCTCTGCACTTCCTATAACGTGTCAAGGGGATGTCTTGAGCTGATTTTAAATTGATCACAATATATTTTAGAAAGTTTGAGGAGTGGGTTTTGCTGGAGGGTCTCAGGCCTGCTGAAATACCATCCCTGCTCATCTCCACTTTGCAGGTTGCATGGGGAAACATTCAAAAAAGGACAGGATTGAGCACTTTTCCAAGACTTGAAAGGGAATCCTACAGAGGAGGGGCAGGATCTGTTCCTGATCATCCCAAAGTGCAGGACACGTAACAATAGGCTCAAGTGACAGGAAGCCAAATTTAGGCTTCATAGCAGGAAAAAAAATATCTCAACTGTTAGAGCAGTGCAACAACAGAACCCATGATCTCAGGGGGAGGCGGTGAGCGCTCCAACGCTGGAGGCGTTCAAGAGAAAATTGGACAACCCTCTATCAGATTTGCTTTGATGTGGATTCCTGCAATGGGCAGGGGGTCGGACTGATACACCCCTTCCAACTCTATGATTCTTTGATTCAATGATTCATAGTGAATGTCCCAAAGGAGATCTCAAGGGGAGATTTGCCAGTTACAACAGGATCCACTCTTCCTGGCACTTGCTTGGAATTCTGTGATTCTATACCATGATCCTGCATACCTGTAGATCCACTGCAAAGCAGTACACATTTACACTCTCGGTTTTGAAAAGCGCACTTTCGCAATGCCCTTGGTGAAGTGACCTTGGTTAGTTAAAAGAATCCAGTTTAGTCAGAGCTTATAGGTAGTGGCTGGAACTACCCCCTCCTGCCAACACCATAAAAAGACAGGATATTTGGTTTCCAGTGAAATATTAATTCCCCCACCACCACCCCCATCTGTCACACCTCTGAATGGTTTCTCGCTACGAGCAAAACTTTTTAAAACGAAAATTTAAAAATAAAAGAAATTGCCCTTTTAATAGACGATTATGCATACATATAGAATAATTTTAGAATCCCTTATGTTCAGGAAAGTTATTTTTGGGCCCTTGCCAACCATGTCTGGAAAAATATTGGCAGTTCCTTTTTTTTCCAGGGGGTATTGGAGAGGGCAGGGAGTCAAGGAGACAAAACAATACATATTAAAACGAGAAATGGAATTAAAGGGGCGGGGAATAATTTCCTTAATTCTGCACAGCTCCGTCCCCCTCTGGAGGTAGAACGGTTGTCACTCCTAAGTCACCAAAACCATCCAATGATTTGCGTGACATTGCCTGCAAAATATATATATACTACGTGACCCATGTGGCAGCTGCCAAAATGGATGCCCAGTGGATGATGGGCAAGTTCCAGGTCATTGAGCTCCATCCTTTTGGTTCTTTCTTGCTAAATTATGCTTGGAAGGGATCGTCTTTCGCACAGGGGACGCCTCTGAGCGGCTGATGGTTCCCTGGTAGATCTAGAACTGGGGTCTCTGAAAGAGGGCATGTAGCCATTTTATCCTTTTTTAGTTAAGATGGAAAACGCCACTGAAGCCAAAGATCGCTCAGTGGTTTCAGCATCTGACTGCGGTGCCAGAGGTTGGGAGTTCGATTCCCCACTGGGCCTCCCTGAACAGGGCTGGACTAGATGATCCATAGGGGTCCCCTCCAGCCCTGCCGTTCTAAGATTATTCTTATTAAAACAATAAAAGAGCTTAAACGCTGGACGCAAACCACTGGACCTTGCTCACACTTCCTTGCAACCAAGAGACAAAACCCACCTTTCAGGAAACGGTCCAGCCTCCACAAGTGTCTAGTCAGCCTCTATTGAGATTCTTCTAGGTTTTAACAATTAACTTTTCAGGGACAAGTCGTCCTCTGTAGCTGCTTCGACAGTCAAGGGAGTGCGGATGGGTGGAGGGGTGAACCCTTCTGCACTTTTTTGTTTTATTTTTTAAAATTTAACATATTGACACTCTGTCTTTCTCCTCCAAAGGGACCCAAGCCGGCTTAACGTCCTGAAAAGAGAATATTTAAAAGCTAAAAAACATTACGTATGGAAATATTTCAAAAGAATCAAACAAATTACCGCACTAAAAATGGGAGATTAAAACCAAAAGCAAAGACACATTCAGAGCAACGAGGCCAAGCAATCCTTTTGAAAACCTCTCTCAGACAAGTCTCCAAGGGAAAGTTGGCCTGAAGAGAAGGGTCGTCGCCTGCTTGCAGAAGGAGAGCCAAGATGGGGCCAGGCTGGCCTCCAGTGGGAGGGAGTTCCAGAGTCTAAACGAGCAGCCACAGAGAAGGCCCTCTCCCGTGTCCCCACCAAGTGCACCTATGATGGTGAGGGAACCATGAGAAAGGCCTCTCTAGGTGAATCTAACATCCAAGCAAGCTCATAAAGGGAGATGTGGTTCCTTCTTCGTATCTGCTAGTTCTCCCTCAAAAGCTGCCATTAGCGCCATCTGGATCCTGCTGTATTTTCCTCTTCCCACAAAGTTGATCAGACCAGGGAGACTCTCCTTAAGCCTGGGGAACTAGGAAAGGTTTCCAATCCACAGGTCAGTTGCACTGAGATGGCTGTTTTTTCCAAAAAGAAAGTGACAACACAGAGATTTTGATCATGGACATCATGTGTTTTTGCCAGGGACTGGAGGGGGGGGTCAAGTGGGGCAAGGTAAAGGTAAAGGTAAAGGTTCCCCTTGACAATTTTTGTCCAGTCGTGTTCGACTCTAGGGGGCGGTGCTCATCCCCGTTTCCAAACCATAGAGCCAGCGTTTTGTCCGAAGACAATCTTCCGTGGTCACATGGTCAGTGCGACTTAAACACGGAACGCTGTTACCTTCCCACCGAGGTGGTCCCTATTTATCTACTCCCATTTGCATGCTTTCGAACCGCTAGGTTGGCGGGAGCTGGGACAAGCGACGGGCGCTCCCTCCGTCACGTGGATTCAATCTTATGACTGCTTGGTCTTCTGACCCTGCAGCACAGGCTTCTGCGGTTTAGCCCGCAGCGCCACCACGTCCCTTCAATTAGCGACCCCCGTAATCCAAAATTTTGCAGCCCTGGCATCAGCATTTAAGACATCCCGTAACTGGTAGAATCTTTGGAAGTGACCTTAGAAAATAGAACCATGGAATCATAAAATCACGGCGTTGGAAGGGGTCTGTAAGGCCATCTAGTTCAACCCCCCTGATCAAGGCAGGAATACAAATGAAAAGATATCTGCCACACAATTGTCCAGTTTTTTCTTGAATGCTTCCAGCACTGGAGCGCTCACCACTGTCACAATCTTATGACTGCTTGGTCTTCTGACCCTGCAGCACAGGCTTCTGCGGTTTAGCCCGCAGCGCCACCACGTCCCTTCAATTAGCGACCCCCGTAATCCAAAATTTTGCAGCCCTGGCATCAGCATTTAAGACATCCCCTAACTGGTAGAATCTTTGCAGATGACCTTAGAAAACCATGGGATCATAGAATCATGGAGTTGGAAGGGGTCTGTAAGGACATCTAGTCCAACCCCCTGATAAAGGCAGGAATACAAATGAAAAGATATCTGCCATGTGATTATCCAATTTTCTCTTGAGTGCCTCCAGGGTTGAAGCGCTCACCACCTCCCTCTCAGGTCATGGGTTCCGTTGTCATACTACTCTAATGGTTAAGAAGTTTTTCCTGATATTCAGTCTAAACCTGGCTTCCTGTAGCTTGAACCCATTATTATGTGTCCTACATTCTGGGATGATAAAGAACAGATCCTCCCCTTCCTCTGTAGGATGACCTTTTTGAAGTATTTCAAGTCTAGTGACCCCTTGACTAGGTAACCTATATAATTTCAATGTGGGCTCGATCTGAATTTGCTCGCATATGAATATGGAGAGAAAGCCAAACAAATGCATAGAAATTTTATATTTTCAGACTCCAGTTTACAGGATAGTTCCTGTCGTCCGACATCATACCTTTTCCAGAAGGAGCTGACTGCTTGGTCTACCACATCTACTATTCTCCTTTTGCATCTTTTTCTGGCTTTGCTTCTCCTTACAAATGTGTTGATAGACAAGCTCTGGCTCATGTTTCTGCTCCATTTGGGCATTTCTGCAGTCTCGTCTTTATTCCCTCCAGAACGTCTGTTCTTTTTGAAGCAGCAACGCAGGCACAGGAAGACAGATGAAAATCCATTTTTCCGAGAGGTTGGGCTAGAAATAGCTTTTGGCTTTTCCTCCGGCCAAATCCAACTTCTCACATATGAAAAGTTAAACCTTGGTAGTTTCTCTCTTGAGGACTCAGACCTGAACGTGTGCAGGTGGTGTGTATTCCTCCAGAGGTGTAGACGGATCTAGACTAAATGAATTAAACAGAGCTCCCATTAGAATCAAGGAGACTTTACCCCGGACAAACACGCTTCGTAGGAAATTTGTTCAGCAGGACACGGAATACAACCCAGCATCTTCTGGAGGCAAGGCATAATACCTACCCACATCTCTGAATGATTCACAGCTTCATTCATTTGCATCTTCCTAGGTGGTCAAAAAAATATCAAGGTCTCTAAATGGATTCATGCAAAACCAGCATGGTGCCATGGGGTTGCTAGCAAGACGTTCCAAATGCATGTCTTCCGTGGACACCATTGAGGGCTTTGTGAAAAATCTACTGATACCTCAATGTGAAAATACAATGGAACACTCAAGATCTGTGGGTTCAAGGCCCACCCATGAGAGATCCACAGGTCATCAATGAACAAGGACCCTTTTCTTACGCCATGGTGCTGTCATCAAGAGTCTTGGACTATGACTTTATTTGGCTTCTACTCTTCTGCTGAGCCAAACGATGAGGTGGGTCCACTCAAGTCTTTCTCAACATGACCTAACTCGTTGGGTTCTCATGATGATAACTTTGTGTGAGGAAGGCCTTCCAGCCTCTTGCGCTCATTGGAAGGAAAGTAGGATATCAATGGAAGAGATGAATGGCTGGATAGCTCTATGGTTTGGCAGTTCAATTCCCCACTGTGCCTCCTTAACAGCTCTGCAGTTCTAAGATGATGATGATGATGAAAGCAGAACAGATTTCTAAAAAACTAGGATAATAATCCTTTTAATCAAGAAATAATCCTTATCCTCATTTCCATTCTTATAATAATCCCTAGAAAGATATGGGAAACCGTGCAGGCAGGCAGGCAGTTGAATGTTTCTGGAAGTTATTTTGCCATCTTGTTATCCAATGGTTAACTCCAGGCTTCCATTCTCAAAGTCTCAATTTCTAGCATAGAAGGACTTCTAACCAATCCCATTCAAGAGGTATTGATTGATTGATTGATTTTTCATTCATTCATTCATTCATTCATTCATTCATTCATTCATTCATTCATTCATTCATTCATTCATTCATTCAGTACATTTGTATCCTGGCCATTCAGTGCCAAAACAGTACTTTGGGTGGCTAGTTGTTGTTGTTTAGTCATTTAGTCATCTCCGACTCTTTGTGATCCCATGGACCAGAGCACCCCAGTCCCTCCCGTCTTCCACTGCCTCCCGGAGTTGGGTCAAAGTCATGTTGGTGGCTTCGATGACCCTGTCCAGCCATCTCCTCCTCTGTCGTCCCCTTCTCTTCTCTTGCCATCACACTTTCCCAACATCAGGGTCTTTTCCAGGGAGTCTTCTCTTCTCATGAGATGGCCAAAGTCTTGGAGCCTCAGCTTCAGGATCTGTCCTTCCAGTGACTGGGTGGCTAACACTCAACTTCCCACAGAGACCCATCTGTAACTCAGGTAACTAAATGTCTTCATGCAGGAGGAGCAAAGATACTTATTGCTCCAACTGGCTGGGACATTCCAGATGGAGGGATGTGAAGAAGTTACTTTCCCAAGCTCTAGTAACAGGCAAGAGATTGCAGTGATGAATCCTTCAGGACCCTGGACAGAGCCTAAGGCGTCCCAATGGCTTCTTCTGTGTAAGAACCTTGTCTACTTCATAGGGCTATGGTTGCTATGGGCCGTCAAGTTGCCTCCAACCTATGGCGACCCTATGGACAAGCAATCTCCAAAGTCTCCTGTCCACAAAAAGCCCTGCCCAGGTCTTGCAAACTCAACCCTGTGGCTTCCTTTAAGGGGTCAGACATTTTGCATTTAGTCTTCCTCTCTTCCTGCTCCCTCTTCCACCTTTCCCAGCATGATGGTCTTTTCCAGATAATGTTGTCTTCTTGTCATGACCCCAAAGTGGGACTGCTTCAACTCCAGCATTGATGCCTCCAGAGAGAGTTCCGGCTTGATTTGATCTAGGACCCACTTGTTTGTCTTTCACAGGGTTCAGGGTATCCTCAAAGCTCTCCTCCAGCACCACATTTCAAAGGAATCAGGTTTTTTTCCCCCCATCTGCTTTCTTTACTGTCCAGCTTTCACATCCATACAGGGCTATCGGAAATACAACAGTGTGGATGATCCTGATCTCTCGGGACATATCCTTACACTTGATGATCTTTGCTAATTCATTCATTGCTGCCCTTCCGAATCTCAGTCTTCTTCTGATGTCTCGGCTGTGGCCGTTTGGACTGACAGTTGAACCAAAATACACACAATCTCTATTCAACTATTTAACACAGGGCTGTTACAAGTATAAATACGAAGGTGACTCATCTCTGCTTTCCCCCAGTTCAGCAAAGCAGAAAATGAAGAGCGTAAAAGCAACCATCCAAGATGCTGTTGAGACTCGTATTGAACTATTTGCAACATATGTCAGGACAAGTACATTACGTTGAAACATACCTGTAATGCATAGGTGGACAAAGCAGAGCCCTCTGGGTGAGGTTGGGCTGGAAGTCCTCATTAGTCATAGCTTTTCAAGCCACAGGTGAGGGATGCTGGGAACGACAGTACAGCAATACCTGGAAAGCATCACTTGGGCATCACCTACACTGATGTAAAGAAGGGACTCCTTCCAGTCGGCTACTAGCAGATTTCTTCTCTACCACTAGTGGGTCTTTTTTAGAAACGGACATACTTAGCCGTTCTAAACCCAAAACCAACCACTACCACAGACGCATTCTATTTTAGGAGGGAAGAGTCACAAGAAGATCTTGTGACCAGGATAAGCCACCGCCACCCCTGTCTTTCCGTTTCCCTGAGGGGAATAGCAGCCATGCTCAGAGGCAACAAGGAAGCATGGGGCAGAGTGGAAGATGACATCATAGGCATAACAGATGACATCATAGACATGATCCAGAAGCCCTCTGTTTTCTGACCCTGAAGGTGTTGGGAACCTACAGATCGGAGAGCTGGTGCTCCCCTCCCCTACGATCTGTGGCCATGGGCATCTGCTGGGCAGTCCAGGGTTCGGGGATTCAAGAAGGAGACTGACCACCTAAGTTGCATGTCGGTTCAGCTCATCACCAAGAATTCTACAGCAGGGACCCGGGATCCGTGAGAGATCCATTCCGACCCACCCACCCCCTGCAGATGCCGGAAAACGTGGAAATATAAAATACGATACATTGCATGGTCTGTGGCTCATTCTAGTGGCCATTTCCAGTAAACACGCCCTGTAAATATATATGAATATTTATTTCTGAGGTTTTTTTGTTTAGCATTTTTGTTAGGCATCCTTCAGTCTTGAGAGACTATGGTAACGTGCTCTGTATGGAGACTTGGAACAGCGTCTAGTGTGGCTATGAAGGCCAATTCGAGAGTGCCAATCCCTTTCCGTGTTGTTTCGACACTGTATGCGAAGCTAGAGTTTCCTCTCCAGAGCACGAAGCCTGAGTAAAATAATATGGAGGATAGGTTGTTACCCAACCAGCAAATCGCCCCTCTCCATGTTGCTGAAATAGTCCAATGGAAAGGCAAGAGCCAATACAACTGGTTCCAGCGATGTCGCAGAAGTTGCCGGAACGACACGAACTGCCTCCGGGACTCCGGCTCCGGATTTTGCCTCGAGGTTAACTCCTGAAGCCTTTTCCATCAGTGGATACAGCCATGAGGCAGTGGAGGTTTGAAATCAGAATTTTCCTTCTCCTAGATAGGCTGCCTTCCAAGGCTGATGAGCCCCACCTACTCAGTGGTAGTATTTTTAGGCAGTGGATCAATGAATCAGGTCTGGCAGGACCATCTTGATTTCTACACATTTTGCCTTCTGGCTTAATCTCTGATGCTTGCTTCCTGGCTGCTGACCTCCCAGGCTGTCAGGTCTGGCTCCCAGCTTTTCCCTCCCCCACCGTCAGCTCCGAGGCACCGAGTGATGTGTGAAGAATCTCATTGTTGTGGATGCTGAGATGAAGCAACCTCATTTGCCCCTTGGAGACGGAGATGCTGGGGACCACTTCAGCAGCCTTCACATTCCCTGAGTGTTCAGACATTGGCTCCAACAACATATTAAAATATACTCATAAAAAAGTGCGGTTTTAGGCAATAAAAATGTGCGTTTTCAGAGAAAAGGTATTTACTAAAATATGCATTGGAAAGGAAGTGTGTTAAGTGAATGTCTAAAGTTACACATGAATGTGCAATGGACAGAAAAAGAAGAGAATAATCAGAAATTAGATGATGACACATAGAATGGAAAGACACAAGTTGGTCCATTCAGACAGCAGGATGGAAGCTCTATGAAAAACCAGCCACTTTCCACCCTGTCCTTCATCTGGGCCCCAAAGAAACAAATACAGCCTTCTGACCCATTATGAAAAGTTTATTTTCCCCATTCTGGAAGAATCCTGACTTTCAGATTTCATTGCTTCTATGAACATATTGGACCTCAGAATGACCATTATAAAACCACCCCTCATGCCATAAATCACTTGAGAAGATAACAACAAGCCAGCTTCTTGTCATTTCTCATATTTCTCTCCCATCTTGTTGGAAAATTATCTCCTACCCACAAGTACACAGACCCAGTTATCATCCGAATCCAGAGGGCAATGTTTGGTCATTTACATCATCTGATGGCCCGAGACCTCAACCATAGAAAGAGGCAATGTGACCAGTCAACGTGCCCTCATGAAACACGGTCTGGCTTGGTCACTTCCTTTCCCACCATCCGGATACACTGAAGGACATGTGTAGCTGGACGGCGACACCTCACAAATCATTTCCAAGTACGGGTGTAGAGAACAGGCACTGTCTAAATGCTGATTGTGGGATGTTTGGGGGTTTTTTTATTTTTATTTTTCGCCTTCACGTCCATAAATAACTTCTGTCTACTCAAGGTCTTGGACGTTCTGGGAACCTTCTGTGGTAGGAAGATGGAGAAGGAAGGGGCGGTCTAGCAGAAACCAAAGGCTCTAAAAAAATCTTGGACCAAGCTGGATCGAGATGGCAGCCAATGTGCTTTTGCAGAGGGGGTGACTGAAGGTTGGAGCCACCCTTCCGTCTGGTCAACCACCAAATTGGAAGTAGCAACATCTCTGTGAATTGACTCCACTCAACCCGACTGGCTGTGAGATCTTCCAGGACAGGAAACTGTATAAGAAGGCTTCCTGTTGTGCTTGATCAACAAGGTCTTCTTGTTCTCTCATGTGGATCTTTGTTCTCGGGTGGTGCTCCATCTTGACTTCTGGTTCATACTTCAGTTATGGGGACTAAAAGTTCCCCCATCGTTCCTAGTTCCCAGCTGCTGACTCACCTCCATCACCTTTCCATAGGCCAGCCTTGACAAGCTTGATAATTGAGCTGGCAATAAAGCATTCATGTTTCGGTTCCATCGGGAGGGAATTATCTCTCAGGTTCTGGTCAAGATGTAGAGTAACAGGTCAGCAGAGGCAGGACCGCAGGTTCTGGTCAAGATGTAGAGTAACAGGACCGCAGAGGCAGGACCAGAGGAAGGATGTAGATTAACAGGTCAGCAGAGGCAGGACCAGAGGAAGGAAGGATCAGCAGAGGAAGGCAGGCAGGAAAGAAGTGGGGGGCTGTGATGGCATCTAGTATGAATTGCATGGCATTCAGTATGAACAATAAACTACTAAATCATTCTGCAGCTCATGTCTGAGCATTAACTGCAATTTCTTTTTGACTGAAATCCTGTTGCTTCGCATAATCAACTTGAGTTTACAAGATCTGAGCAGGGCAGTTGAGGACAGAACAATCTGGGGATCACTCATTCATAGGGTTGTCATAAGTTGGAGGTGACTGGACAGCACATAACAACAACAACAACAACAACAACAACAATGTAAGCCACAACTAGAGTAGGTCCATTGTATCAATGAAACTTAAGAAGGAGTTGACCTGCTGAATCAGTTGATTAAATCAGTTGACCGATTCAGTTGACTTACTGAATCAGTTGACTGAATCAGTGGGTCTACTCTAGTTCTGACTTATTTATGCTAAGCAACAGGATTTCAGCCATGAGGGTTTGGAGTCGTGAACTCATCATGGGTCAGGGAAAAAAATTGCAATATTCCGTTTGGACTTTGGGAAGCAGATGTTTATGAAAAAGAAGGGGTTTTCCCCTCCCTAAAAAGTAGACCCATTTAAGTGGGGAGGGGAAGGATTTTTTGTTCTGATCTTCCTATGATAAAACATATAGCATATTTCATCTCCATAACTTCAAAACCTGGCCAGTGTCCACTCTATAGGCTGGATAAGAACATAAAAGGCGATTCCCATTTCTCAAAGACTGAGAGAGACCTAATAATTGGACTAAATCCCAGAATGACATAAGGAGGAGTCCACTGCTGATGAAAGCTGGACCCTCCTAATTGGGGGAGGGGAGGTTAAGAAGCCAGCTCGAGGTATGTTTGAAATGATGGATCTCTTAAGTGAGAGCTAAAGCTGGCCTGGGAGAAAGGGGAAAGATCATTCTCAGATGCTGGCAGAGGCAAGCTCCCTTCGAAGAGATATTTTTAGATGGAGGAGTTTCCAGAGAAAAGGAGAAAAAAGCGAGACTCGTAACTTTAATAGCTTGTGTTCTCTTTTTTAGCAGTTATAGTCTTTTTTAACGGGAAAGGCTGCCAAGGGCTGCATCTAGGTTTAATTCTCACTATAGACAAACATCCCCGCTGGTTCATTATCAATGGCCTCATGCAGAGGCACATCCCTTGCGGCCAGCCAAGCCTATCAGGGAGCCAGGAAGGTGACATTCCTCCCTTGTTGTTTGTCCCCAACTGCTGACGTGCACTGGCCCCCGGCCTCTGCCCTGGGAGATCCTGCTTGGCTATCATTCCAACATGGCCACAAAGCACTCGGGGCCATCTTCCTTACCATAAACCCCTCCAAGCCTTCTTTTAAAACCATTTAATGGCTAAACTACACGCCACGTTAAATGCACAGCAGGGCAATTAGGATCACAGTCTGTTCTTCACTTCCAAGTAAACAAGCGCTTCCATTCTCTTTGGGTGAGAGATGTTTAAACCACCCTGCCAGTTTTTATTTCCAAATCTCCCCTATTGCTACAAATTTGGAGGCTGGAAATGAAAGCGGGGAAATGCCTCCATTATACACAGTAGACTATCTCTTTCTTTTACCTCCGACATTTTTGGACGGGGTGAATTTGAAATTAAGAAAGGAAAATAAGGGGAGGTGAAAGTTTACACCTTCCCCCGTCCACATAAGACAGTCTGAATCTTACTGGGGTTGTGCATACTTACTCAAAGGCAAGACTTAATCTGCAACTACATGGTCAAACACCACGAGTTTTGCTCCATTTACAAAACAGGTGAATTAGAAGTATTTTTTTTTTACTGACCTCATGATGCAAAAGCTGGTTTGAATTGGTCTCAAACTTTTTGCTCCTTATATGACTTCTTTTTCCCCTCTGCTGCTTGGGGGGGGACAAAACAGGTGAATTAGAAGTATTTTTTTACTGACCTCATGATGCAAAAGGTGATTTGAATTGGTCCCAAACTTTTTGCTCCTTACATGACTTCTTTTTCCCCTCTGCTGCTTAGGGGGGGGGAGGCTTCTACACTGGAAGGATTTGAACAGGCTTTTTCTCGTGTGACTAGTTGTGATATATTCCTGTAAAGATGAGGGAGCATTTCTGTAGGTACTGTTTCGGTGATTTAGACAATTGGGGCATGATGTTCAGGACTAGGAAAACATGCCCCTTCATTCTTTCCTCTCCCCTGATCATCCTCCGATATTTCTTTTTAAAATTGTTACATATATGAGATTAGTGCTAGATCACCCTATCGCCTTGTCA